TTTCTTTTGGCTGCAACGAACTGTGGATCGAAGGCGATGCTCCAGCGGTTGGTCTGAAGGAATTTGACCAATCCTTCTCGACAGGAAGCCTTGCGCTTTGTGAGGCTGTCGGCCAGGTCGAAATCGGAAGCTAGCCAACGAAGTTCAACCCCAACTCTCCTCAGATTATCACGCAACTGAAAGGCCTGAAGCGCTGCCCTCATATTGGATAATCCAAGGAGTGGAGATTCGTTCATCTCCACAGCGTCGTAGCCTCCACGGCTGTCGGTGCAGAGGATGCCTTTCACAAGACGGGCCTGCTTCTCCGTCTCCTCCACCAAGTCGTGGCGCTCTTTTGGCCTTTGGTGGCCTGCTCCGTGGATCTCTGTCCATAGGAGCCTCATCCGAAAGTTGGAGTCTTCGGATTCTAGCGCTGCCTGTATTTCTGCGTCGTTTGACGCAATCGCCTTGCGCTTGAGTTTCCAGCAGCGCCAGTTCACCAATATGAACTCAGTGACATGGCCAGAGCGACAGGAGGGTCCTGAGATCAGGCTGATCGTTTCCACCTGGTCTGTTGTTGTGCGACTGGTCGGCCATTGTGGTGAAGGTCAGGTCACTCCAATGCTCAGCATCTTTGGGCTTGAAGAAGCGAAGCTTGTAAGATTCCAGGCGAATCTCAGTGATCATGTTCTGAATCTCCCTGGCGTGCTCCAACTGACCATTGGTCACCAAATCGCTCAGCAGGAGGTTGCATCGAGCGCAGAGTTGTGGTTGGGTTTGTATGGCCAACCATTGCAAAGATCCCAGGGCTGCCCTGCAGCTGGCCAACTCAGAAGGAGAGAGCTTGTCATCAGCTCGGATGCGATCAGCTGGGATGTCAACATCCTGAAGGGTCTCGATGTAGGAGTCTTGGTCCACCTCGATCTCGACAAGACCATCAGGCTTCCGGACAGAGGTGATGTCCGTGCCTGCGCGGCGGTAACATCCACGCTTGACACTGCCCCACTGGTATGCAGCATCGATGCGTTGGCAGATGGCCTGCCACTCAGAGCTGTTCACATCACCAACACGGTGGAAGTCGTCAACGTGTCCTCCCATTGCTCCAAGAAGACGAGGAAATTGACCAGTGGAGTCCAGCTCGGTCTTGCTGAACCACAGCCATAGACAACGCTCGCCAACAGCGGCAACAGCTCCAAGCTCAGTAAGCTTGTTGTGTAGAGAGAGCCAAAGCCCTCGAGGAGCTGTAGTGGAGCCGTACACATTGCGCAGGATGCGCAACAAAGTGTCCTGGGGGACATTGAGTGCTGTCTTCAACTCTTCAACACCTGATGTCCATATCTTTGCATCCGACTCCGTGGGCTGAGTCTGAAGGAAAGCCGTGGCAAGGTCCAGTCCTTGTAGTTCCCATTGATGCCAGACGCTCAAGACATACAGCAGGTGGCGTCCAACCAAACTCTGAACAGGAGCAGCAGTTTTGAAGCCACGATCAAGGAGAGATGGATGCTGATATCCAAGTAGTACAATGCGTGCTTTGGCCTTGGCTGTGGCTGACTCATTCAGCACGGTAGTGTCTGGATGAAGAGCTCGTTCACGCTTGGCCTCTTGAAGTTCATCTGGAGGAATGGGTTTCCAAGTCAGAACCCATCGAGCTTTCAAGATTCTGCCGCTGGTGTAGGCCTCCCGGGTCTCCTGATCATTCAAGCATGCCCTGACAGCGGCATTCTTCAGGAACGAATTCACCTCCTTCAGCTTGGCTCGATGAAATAGTTCACGATCTGCAGCTGAAAGGCGTTCCAACTTCACCTCAGAGGAGTTGAGCTTCTTAACCAGGTAGCTGACAGGGTTGTGCAGGAACTGTTTGCGTTGTCTTTTGGAGTCAAATGAGATGTCCAGCTCAAAGCAAAGGAACTCTTCAGTCTCTTGGAAAGCCTGGTAGAGCTCAAAGTCCTGCACCTCATTGTCAACATCGGCCCGCAAAAGATCTATCCAGCCCAAGTCATAGCTGGAGCGAGCTTTCTTGTGAGACTCTTCATCTTTGGATTTCTTGGGAGGTCGTTCAACTTCCCGGTCATAGTCATTGACTTCACGCTTCTCTCTCACGCTGACCTCAGTAGTGTCAGCACCAGCTTCAGCTTCTGGTAGATCATCTTCATGTTCACCTGGTTCGGGAGCAACAGATGGAGTATACTCAAGGTCAGGTGCCGGTGGCGGAGGAATCCAATGCTTCACCTTGGGATTCGCAGAGGAGGAGGAATCCAAGCCAAGGGGCGAAGAGCGATGCACCTTGACATACTCATCAGGACCAAAGGTCTGCTTATGCTTGGCCCTTCGGATAGGCACATAGGTGGTGTTGTCGGGCTCGTCGGGAAGATCTGGTAGTTCTCGGTCTTCTTCATTGGGGACTTCATCCACAATGTCCACATACTCTCGCTTTGGCAGGATGTCTGCGAGAGACTTCCACTGAGAAGGGTCCTCGTCGGTGGTGATCTCATAGGTGAAGCGCTCAGTCTCAGTGACAGGTCGAACAGAGTGCACTGAGCAACGAAGCATCTTGCTACCCACCAGAACCCATAAGATATGCCGTCGGTGATCTCCTTCTTCT